GTGTTATTTGAGTTTTGTTTCTTTATGTAGATTTTTTAAGAAAAAATAAATTTTCGGTAAAAAATAAACGTTTGTGATGCTTAGTTTTGAGTATTATCTTGTGTTAGGCGACTAACATACATTTCCATTAACTGCTATATTTTTTGTTTTCTTTTGTTTGTATTTTCTTATTTTCTAGCGTGGTTCAATGCCTTTTAAATAAAAGTTATATTTCTGTTTTTAATATTTACAATTATATTAATGGTTAAGGATACGAAAAAATATTGCATACTGTCAATTTGGGAAAATATATGAACCTTTTCCTTATAATACATGTACATACATATATACAAAAAAATATGTTTATTTACTTTAATTTGTTTTTCTTATTATATATTTTATAGGTTAATAATAGTACTATTTCCCAAATAGTAGAGTTGATATTTGTGGCGCTTTCTACTGTTGGTTGAGAATGCATATTTTGATGCTCCTATTTATTCATCGATTTTTTGATTTTTTTTTAATTTTTGGCAATGTAAATTTTTCTATTTTGTGTATTATTTCTAAAGTGTTTTAGAGCGCACGAGCGTTATGATAATTTTTTGTATATTTTTCACGCGTACTTTTCTGTTTAAAAACTTCTTTTGGTATTATAAATTTAGAAAAAACTAATAATTTCAAAGTATTTAGGGCACGTACGTAGGTACTTTTTAAGTTTTGTGAAACCTTAGTTTTTTCAAAATTTTTCTTGATATTGTTTCTTTGTTTTTCTTTTCGCTTGTAAAAAGTAAATGCCTTTAAGGTTTGAGACGTTCGAAGTTTCGTAAAAAAGAATTTGTAAAAATCAGTACTATCGGTTTCCATAGTTTTGTGATGTCTTTGGGATCTTTCGGCATTACTTGGGCATCAAAATTGTTTTAAAGTTTGTTTTTTGTCCCCTAAGTTGAGTCTGTGTTTGCCATTTTTTCCACTTAATATTCGATACGTCTCCATTACACCTTACTTTCGGGTCCCTCGGCCACATGTTTGAATGCCATGCGAATTTTGGATAAATAATGCGAGCAAATGTGCCCGTAGCTCTTGTTGTACCATTCGGGTGTGCGGCCCCTGAAAAAAGAAAATATTTATGATCGAAAGTTTTCAAATTTGGACATAGAATTTTAAATTAGAATTACGAATTTTAGTTTGAATTAGACTTAATCAAAATTTATACTTTGGCACTTTGCGTTACGTTATGTTGCATTGCGTTACATTCAGGTGAGGCAATTTTAATACATGTATGTACATGTATGTATATGTGTATATTTGTACCCACTTACTTTACGTCCACTCGCGCCAAGTGCATAACGCGCGAACGTCCACTGCCGCACGGCTCGATCAAGTAGCGCGAAGCCAGCACCACACCCCTTATAGCGCCGAACATCGGCTTAGCTTTGGCATGGTCAATGGAAGTCTCAACAATGACGCAAGCGCCACGTGGCAAGTCCGTTTGCCAAGAACTGCATTAGAAAATTTAAAGAAAATATTATTTCAAACAATTCTCCACTCATGCAAACAAACTGCTGTTTTACCGTAACACACAAAAATCGGTGGTGAACTGGCCATCTATGGCGTATTGAAAAATTTCAGTGCGCTCATCCAACTTCTTGACTGTTTGGCTCTCCAGCAAGTTTACGTCCCAGGAGGCGCGCTGTTTAATGACATAGTCCAGCACTTCTTTCGGCGGGCCCTCGACTTCGGTGGTGCAGCGCCACAAACGCAGAGGATGGCCATCGCCAACCTTCTTGTAGGCAATGTCCACATTGCTGTCGTTTTGTGATGAGATCGTGAACCAGCCACGTGTTCTGGAATGAGAAAAACAACAGGTTTCGAATTGTTTCCATTCATAACGTCACATGCTCCATTCTACCACACTTACTTCTCTCTGCCCTCCTTAATGGTCGCACTCGTGCACTCGTACAGATAGCCGCGCCAATTGTGGAATTGCATGCCCTCGCCAAGCGCCTCAAGCGGCACCGGTTTCGACTCTTCCATATAACCAAAGTTGCATTTGCTAATCTTCTCTTTGTTTGCCGTAAAAATGCGTTTGTAGTTCTCAATCATGAAGGCCAGGCATTCGTGTGACGCCTTCGCCTCTTGCAGTTCCTTCTCGTCGGGCACGCCAGCGCCTTTGCGTCGTCGTGGCGAGGCTGAAACCGAAGCAGTGCCCGTTGAAATGCTGCTATGAAAGAGCGACGGCGCCAAGCACACAGCCAAATTGTTGGCGGTCATTTGATTTTGTTCCGCATTGGCTGCCACCAGCGTGAGGAACTCCAGCAACGCATAGAGTATTTCGCGATTCTCGTCGGGCAACAAAAGTACCGCACATTGTACAGCCTCCAAACGCACATCCTTGGGCAGATCTGCAAATGGTAAATGGTTAGTCTACGATTCTAATTTTCTTGTTAGTCAATTGCTTTGAACTTACGTTGGAAAATCGCAGCAAACGTCTCGGACATTTTTGTCGTAAGCAACGATTCGGGCAGGTCGCGGAAATACTGTTTCAACATATCGGCCACATCGTAAGCCTGCTGCGTATCGTAGACCTCCATGCAGAGCACCGAGGAATCGAGCTGCTCCACCTCCGACTTCAGCTTGATAATGCGTGACTTGACGCCGCTCTTGCGGAAGAGACCAGTCTGATCGAGCGCGCGCACTTGCAGCCAGCGGAATGCGGCGCGTATCGGCACAGGAAGCGTCTGCCCGGTGCGCTGCAGCACCAGTAGCAGCGGTACACCGAACACTTTCTTGTCTTTGTAGTCAGGCATTTTGATTTTCTTAATAAACTTCGGCAGTTCCCAATTCCAGCCGGAGCGATGTGTTGGACAATAGCGTTCCATGTAGCCAGTGAGTATGACCAGCGCCAGCTTGCGCAGAACATGCAGCTGTCCCGCCGACATGGCGGCAAATGGAATGCCATGATCATTCATGTTAGGATCGACTTTTTGGGAGAAACATTTGCGGAAAATCATTTGTGGGCGCTCTTCCATCTGAAAACTGTGCCATCGTACGACGGGTTGGCTGCTTAAGCACGAAGTTAAATGAATGAAAATAAGCAGTATTTTTTTTTTAGCTAAAATGTGTAGACGGCTTACCGTTTGACATGCTCCGCTTCCTCAGGTTTGGACTCTTTGCGTGAGGTGGAACGCGAACGAAAACTCGCAGTGCGGAAACCATCACGCTTCTTCGGATCCTTGCCCAGGTTGAGAGAACCGCCGCGTGTCAGTTTCTTAACCTTGATCTAAGCGATAAGGTAACAAAGGAAAACATTTTGATTTGCCTAGTCTACGCAACAATTTACTCACCTCAGTTGTGTTCGAATTTGCATCCTTGATCAATAGCTTTCTGCCGTGGTGACACTCCGAGTCTGAATGCGCGCCGATATCGTCTACCTTTCCAGTACGCTGTAAGAACCTGCGTGTCTTGGATGGTGTCTTCCGCAGCGACAATTTACCACCCGCTGACGACTCCTGACTATCGCTATAGTATGAAGACGAATCATCCGACTTGCCTTCCTTCAAATGCGGCATCGGGTTGGAAAAGAAATGTAGTGGACTTGTGCGCATCGAACGTGGTGTGGTCGGTGTGCGTTTGGGACTCGCCCGATTCGGGCTAAGGAAACTTTCACTTTGCGAAGGTACTTTCAGCTCATTGCCAAACATGGGACCCTTAGGGAATGTGTGCACTGGACTGACCGCTGATGGCGATGGAGGTGTAGAATAAACAGCATCAGGTTTGCGCAAGCTACCACGTTGTCCCAGTTGAGACAGGTCTAAAGCGTGTGGTCCACTTATAACAATACCTTCGCGGTTTTGACGCTTTCGTCTGCGCGACTTTATCGATTCCACGCGGCGCAGTAATGCCTTGGCACCATCTTTGAAACGTTCACTGCCAGTGCGACGCAAACGCACTGCCGCTGAGTCGAAAGACTCATTGAGCATGGAATCTGTAGAGTTACCGGGCAGCGTGAGCGAGAGACCACCGCCAGTTAGGTCGTAACTGTCATCTTCAAACCGATCGGGGCTCGATTCCTTGGACGAGCTTTCCGTCTTCTCGATATTCAACTTGCCGGCGGGTGGCAGCTCCAAACCCATTTCACCGATGCGCGACCAACGACGTATATGTGGCTGGAATGTCCAATTTTCGCTGAGTGCACAGTTCTCATCGTCGGAGTCCTCCTTCTGCTGGTATGAATCGTACGTGAATGAGTTGATGATGTGTTGTACTTTAAGGGGTAATTTAGAGAGGGGAAGTTGACAAACCTGCGGCGTTTGCGCCTTGTGCGACTGATCGAGACGCATGCTGGCACAGCGATTTAAAATGCAGAGGCGTCGGTAGAGCGACTGCAGTTGATCATTCTCAAGGTTTGTGTGATCCTTGGCCACGTTGGTGAGGTCGATGGGGAATTGGTGATCTGCAATTATTGCGAGAAGAACATAGGAAATAATATTCTTAGTTACCGTAAGGTTAGCGGTGAAAAATAGGTGACCTTTAAAGGCGAAATAATATTACTGGAAAAATGTTTAAAATAGAAGCTTTTGCACTCGCGTTTACTTTTACTACCCCCTATATGCACATTTAATTTTATTAATTGATTTGATTCTCTCAGGACTAAGCGTCTACACGCCATTGGAACTTAAAGCAACTAAAGCACTACAGCCAGCCGTTTGCTGCGCTCGATGCCGTGGATGTGAAGATAGAGAAACAGTTTCTCAACCTATTCGGCAATTGCCGTTAACATGCGCGATTCTGCCACGAACGATAAGTTGAAATTGAATATGGGAAATAAACAAAAAAAAAAAATCCAATGGAAATGTTAAATCTGTAATTGCCAATTGCAAAATGCCAGCCACACACTCTGACCCCCGCACACCTCTGCGTCTGGCCAACTAAACGTTTGGGACGCTGTTGGCCAAAGTCACAAACGCGGATGCGAGCCTAAAGATATTTAATTTTTATTTTTTCCCCTTCGTTTTCACTCCAGACGGCACTTTTGGCTGTTACAATTACAATGTGGGCAATCGGGTTCTTTCTACTTACATACGTGTCGTCGCAGCAGCTTTCAATCGCTAATATTACGTCGGACGATACAGCCGCCGCATCAACCAGAACAACAACAACAAATCTTAGCTAAATTGCAAGAAGTAAAACAGAATGAATTTTGAATTTACGTAGTCGCCTTGATTAGTTAGTTGGCTGTTGTGAGAATTCGCATCGCTAACACTACCACACTTCGTTATGCAGCCCCCTTCCGTTTCCTTCCAAACAACGAAGTGAATGCTGAAAGAAAATGTGAGATGGTGGGAAAAACTTTTAAGGCGTTTGTCGTCGTCGACTGACTGTTCTCGCCACCAAAACGTGTGATGCGAGTTGGCGGTTCGTGGGCCCTGACGCATGGCCACTAATGTAAATATTGCAGTGACGCGTTGCAATGAGGCGCCTCCACATGTGGCACATGTGTCAATCGATACTACCAGCGTCCGCGGCGCATATAGTCGCTCCATGTGGCCAACGGACGGCGGATGGCGGATGGCGGACGGCGGATGGCGGACGTCGAATGGCGCGTACAGCGATCGCATATACTTTGCTGGCGTAAATTATTGACAGCCAATTTGATTTGTGTTGTCGGGAAAGCGAGTGAGTGATGTGTGAGTGTGTGTAGATTTAAGTCTCTACAGTGAAGTGTCTATATAACGAACCTTGATACAAAGATAAAGTCAAAATAACAAAATTTTGTTGAGTCCCCTGAAAAATCTTGGTAGTTGCGAAATGTTCCATACAAAAATGCTACACAGATATGTGTTACGTAGAATTTTTGAGCATGAAAACCTTCGGAATATATTGACGGTTAAAGTCCCGTTGGCCAAAGCCTTTATATAAGGAAGCCTCGACTCAACCGCATTTATATAAATAATAACTCTGATCCAGTACTCCATGAACTTACAGGTTTTTACAAAAATTTACAGGAAGTTACAGGAAAAATGATACCGTACTCCAAATTCTTCCAAAATCGTGTAAATGAGAGCGATTTTTGGAGAGTTGTGTAGAGAATGAAGATTTTACAAGAATTTTAACCGAACTTTTTCTTCTCACCTCATAGAGTAATTTTGCTGTTTGACATTTTTGCAGGATTTTACACGAAAAGTATTGGATCAGAGCTAATGTATTCTGTATATGTTGACGGTTAGATTCCCGTTATAACGCATTTTCATCTTCCTTCATCTTCGTTATATCGAAGTTTTGATATCCTATATATATAATGAAACCGTATATGCAACGAAGCATTTGTTCAACCTTTTCAACTTCGTTATATCGAGGTTTCACTGTATATGTATGTATATATTCACAACTTCTGGTATGAATGACAAAGTTATTGAGCAAGTAAATATGTAAGTGTAATGAACTTGTAAATAAGCTGCGGTAAACACACATTTGCAATAGGGTGGCCAAAAAATGCATGCGAAAAAGTGAAGTCGGAATTTTTTTAATACTCTCACTCCGTAGGATTGTTCTCTTACCAGAAAAATTATACCCCTTTTTTTATTTTGAAATAAAACAATATATATAGAGGTCGCCCAAAGCGTTCAAAGTTTTCTATGTATTTTACCATAATTAAAACATAACAAGGTAAAACCATTGAGAGACAGTCTTACGTTTGCCATATAATTTAAAAATTTAAAACTCAAACTCACACACACACATTCTAATTTTCAATCTCAAACAACAACAGTTGTGAACAATTTAATTTTTTTTATTGTAAATGATTTTTTAATTATTTTGAAATGCTTACAAAAGTCAGAAAAACATTTTTCGTGGAAACGACATAGAATTCTTGAAAATCAATATATTTTTTCGATCAGAAAACTTTGTTTTCTTCACGAGATTTCCAACGATAACAGCCAATTGTTAATTGGCGGCCGCTGTGCGCTACCACTTCGCAGGGCCTGGGTTCAAGCCCGGTTCAATCCAATATCAAAAAAAATAATAAATAAAAAAAGTTGTTTCTCGCCAGGCAGTGGTAAACCTAAAAGTGAATTTCTGCCATGAAAAACAGCTTCGCATAAAAAACAATCGCCGTTCGGGGTCGGCGTAACACTGTACATAGGTCTCTCCCTTTTGTGTGACAACACCAAGGCGCACGCCACAAATCGGAGGAGAAGCTCGGCCAAACACTTAAATATGAATATGTAAGCGCCAATCTATTATTATTATTTAACAATTTTTTAAATTCTTGAGATTTTTTATGGGCCCCCTATTGCGTTTTTGGGGTCTCAGGGGTCCTTTGAAAAATAGCCAATAATAAAAGATGGTAAAATAAACAATTGGGTATTATTATTAAAAGTTTTCTGAATAGAAAAAAGTTTTCCGACCGAAAAATACTATACCATTCTATGAAAAATACCATTTCTATGAAAAATTATTTTTCCATATAAAATAAGCTACCTCTAAGTATATTTTGATTTCAAAATAAGAAAATTATTTCTTTCGATATTTAACAGTCCTAGGGAGTGAGAGCACTATAACTCGGACTTTCCTTTATTTTTTTGGACCACCCTAATGTACACACATTTGTTTGCATATTTGTAACAAAGTGTAGAAATCGATAGTGGCAATTGCTTGCTCGGCAAATTTAAAGGAAGTGTCTGGATTTTTATTCATAAATATTGTTCATTTAAATTACAAAATTAGCTAAGGAAAACAATTTGAGAAATAGTACATTTTTGAATATTTTCATTAAGTACCGTTAAAATTAAGTAGGCCAAGATATAGGAAATTTGAAAATAAAATTTCTTATAAACTAAAATTAATGAAAATTTAATGGGAATTCGGTAAGTGTATGCCAAAAAAAAATCACAAAAGAACCGCAGCAGAATATAACTAAATGGTTAAAGAATCAGCAAAAAATTAATTTGAAAGCAACGGTAAATCCTACTATTACTAATTCACAACCAACATTAAAGGGTTAGAACAAATAATATTTTTTCCATAAACTGAGTGAAAGAAAAAGTCATGTTATGCTGTCCGCATTTTGTTCGTCTATCGGACTTCTACAATTCTCAAAAGAGTCCTGAATCCGTTTAAAATCACTAAAATCTCATTTTAAAATTTAAAATATCACTGGGGGTTCATTTTATATAAACTTAGCATTATTGGAATCAACTTTTGATAAACAACATCAAGTATCAGTGTTTGAGTAGGACTCCACTATGAAAAAGTTTCTTATGCCAATCATTTTCACTTCGAAGATATTTAGACATTTATTTTTTGACCCCTCAACCTATGCGAAAATATGAAGGCATACATCGCAAATATAACCATCTTTCATTCACTTGACTTACGAAAGACTTTTAACTATGTTAGGTTTACGATTAAAATGATGAGTTTGAATTCAAAATTAAAACTTTCTGCATAAAAATGGACAATTATATGAGTAATACGAAGACGTTTCACTCCAGTCGCACCTGGGATCCACACACAACTTTTTTTCTTAACAGCGGTCGCCCTCGTCTGCCTTTGAAAGGCTTTAAATAAAACGCGAGACAGACGGAATTTTGCCCTGACAGACGGCAGTATTGCGGATTAACGAGACGCAGGGTAGTGGGTTCTTTATTTTTTTAACATTACTTTCAGTTATTTAGTTACTTTTGACATTTTAATAAAATTAAACTCTAAAAATTTAAATTAACTAATAGTAATATAAAAAAATGTGAACTAAAATAAAGCATATGAAAATAAAATAAAGTAAAATAGAATATAAAAATCAAATCAAATAAAAAATAAATAAATAATAAAAACAAACATTTTTTTCTCAATCGCTCCAACCGAGGATCGAGCCCGGCAGCTACAGGCTTGTAGCACACCACTCTCAACACTCGACTACCACCGACGCCAAACTCGCCTGCTTTGTTTGCTTACTTGTACAAAAGACAACAGCTGGCGGTTTTTACCAGTGTTGTCATCGAAAATCCCCCGGATCCGAGTTAATTCCCAAAAATTTCGTGCATTTGTTCGCCTGCTTATGCACATTTTAAAGAGGAAAAAGCATGAGTTACAGAGATATGGCGACAGAGATCGTTGGCCTAAATATTAACAGAACGATGAAATTCAAAAATATTTCCTAATTTTTCTGATTTTTGCTGTTATGGCTTCTAATATATGAAATACATATCGCTAGCTTAGAGTGCAAAGTTGCTAAGTCCATTTTTTTCAATTATACAGGAGGCACAAAAAACGTTGCTAAGTAATTTTCCTTAAGTATTTTGCAAAACTTTGAATGCAATGTTTCGCGTTTTTCATTTACCCTTTATTAAAAAAAATAATAATAACAAAGTCTGCTTTTTTACAAATTTTGTAGATAATTTTGTGACTTAGCAAATTTTCTACTTTTTTCTTAAAATTTTTTTTGGACTTAGC